GATTGATTGATCAGTCAATCAGGAGATTGATTGATTGATTGATTGATTGATTGATTGATTGATTAATTAGGTTGATTGATTATTTGACAATTGTTTATTTAATCTTGGAAATTTCCCGGAATTAATTATTTGATTATTTTTTTTTCCCAAGAAATTATTTCTTTTTTCGAGAAAATTTTTTCTGAGAAATTATTTCTTTTTCCAAGATTTTTTTTTTTTTTCCGAGAAATTATTTCTTTCTCCAAGAAAATTCTTTCCGAGAAATTATTTCTTTTTTCGAGAATTTTTTTTTCGAGAAATTATTTTTTTTTCTGAGAAAATTCTTTCCGAGAAATTATTTCTTTTTTCGATAATTTTTTTTTCCGAGAAATTATTTCTTTTTTTTTCGGAGGAAATTCTTTGAGAAATTATTATTCTTTTCCAAAAAATTATTTTTCCGCGAAATTTGGTTTCCGAGAATTTTTTTTTTTTTTCTGAGAATTCATTTTCCGAATTTTTTTTACCTTGCTTAATTGTTAAATGTCAGCATTTTGATAATTTCGTGATTCTTTTTTTCCGAAACTGTCCCTCTACACTTTCACTGCGTAGGTCTGCAAATTCGATTCTTTTTTTTTCAAAAAAAAAAAAACGGCATTTTTTTCTTTTTTACAACCTACTCCTACTCTGAGTTTGTAAAGATACTTCTTTTCTGATTTTCTGCAGTTTGAGCACCGGAGGTTCACAATTGCTTTCTGCATCACCTTCGACACTCAGTGGGATTGGACAGTCTTTCTTTTCGAATTTTGCTTTATTTCTTCTGAATCAAAATTATTAATATTATTTTATTTTTTTTCCCCTTTTTTTTATTAGGAAACTGTTCAATTTTGGATTTGTCCAATCCTTCCCACCTGTCCGCTGCCTACTTGTTCCTCCCCCCCCTAGTCCGGGTACCGGGCCAGTCCATCAGATTGGCCCTTGGGGGACTCTTTAGACTTCGGGCACAGCAGTGCATGACACTGCCCACTCGATCACAGACCAAGGCCATGGACCGGAAGGCAGGAGAATCCCTCCTGACCTATGAGGAACGCCTGGCGGCATTCATTCAGGAGGCCAACGATAGGGCTGCCACCGCGGCCAAGGAACGTAATTGGCTTGAACAAGAGGAGGAGGCCAAGCGACAGAAGGAGGAACAGGACCGACTTCGTCAAGAAGAGGCAGAYCTGCAGGCGGCAGCCGAACACCGGTCATGCCAGCGGGAACGACTGTTCACTCGGGAGACCGTGATCGGCGATGWGGCCGCACATTGGGTGGAAGAGGCATCTGCAGACGGGACCCCGGAGACTGAGAAAGGGCTGTCAGCCCTTGCACAGGTCTCCCACAACCTCGTGGCCACCTGCGCTCTGCAGCAGGAGGAAATCCTTCATGCAGCAGACAGTGGACCAGATGCTCGCACGGCTGCAGGCGTTGCAGAAACAGCCAGCTGCTGTAGCAACCACAGGGCCTTCCAACCTTACCACCCGTGTGCAAGTTTTGGAGGATGACGCCAGCAACATCAAGCGTGTGCATCAGGACTTCCGGACGTCGCAGCAAGCAACAAACTCGCAGTTGGAGACGCAGGTCCGGGCTGCTGCCACCGTGACGCCCGCCGCCTCATCCTCCCGGCGCCCACCCAAACTGGATGACATTCCAATTTTCTGCGATCAGTCCAAGACGGAACCGATCCGGTGGTGCCGCCAGTTTACTTTCAGGCTCGACATGCACCATGCCCCGAACAATGATTGACATCCGTGCTTGTACCACCGATCTGGTGGTGTGTGTCAAGCATGGCTGGACAACATCTTCACCAGCCACGGCGTAACAGTGTCGGAACTGCACACCAAGCTCACTTGGCAGGAGTTGACCGATGCCTGGCACAAGCGATTCCAAGTGGAGCCGCCCGACCTGCAAGCGATGGACAAGCTCAACAAGCTCCATCAGAACATGCTGCTCAGTCAGAACTGGATTACCGAGTTCCAAAGACTCGCCTCCACACCTGACCTGCCGCTCGCATTCCGCGCCATCAAGCACTTGTTCATCATGCGCTCATGTTCAGCTCTGCAAAACGCGCAAACGCAGATTGCAGAGACACTCGACATATCTGACAAGCTTTTCAGCACAGCGTCGCGGATCATTCTCATGAATATCGAAGCCCGCAACGCCGGCCGATCTTCCGCGACGACGAGCGGCACCCAGCCCAAGCCAAAGGTGGTTTGCATTACTTCTACCGAGGCTGCAACACCAAACGAGGGTGAAGTGTTGGCAGCTGCCCGGGATGGTGGCCGGCCGTGCAACAATCACGGCCGCGACAAGACGAAGACTCAGTCCACCTCTACACCGAGCACCAGATCAGCCGCCGACGAACCTTGGGCACAATACGGACTCTCGGCGAATTCTTATCGCACGAGACTCGAGTACCGTTACTGCCTTTGGTGCAATAGCACCATCCACGATGCTGCATATTGCCCCACCAAGGGGAAACCCCGTCAGGGAAAGTAGGCGCCGCCGAGGGTGACTCGACACCTCCCTCGACGCCATCGGAAGCGGTTGTGCGCACGACCGCCCTTTCTTCCGAGGCATATGCGGATGTCCGGAGTCTTCCACTTTCGTTCGAAGACTTCGCTGCCCGGCTCGTTCCTTCACTGGATGCTTCTCAAGGACAAGATACATGTGCGGCTTTCTCACCGTCCGAAGGTTCTTCCGCCAGTTCGTCTTCATCAAGGGATTCGGCAAGCGTGTTCAACGACGAGGCCTTGGACCCGCTCACGCCCGAGGACTTCGCTTGGATTCCACTCCCTACGACGGGCAACCTTCCGGGGCCGCAAAGCGCAGCCCTATGCGCCCTCTTACACGAGTATCTTTCCTTCCATGCACCACCAACTTCGCCGACGGTAGACGAAGTCGCGGTGGGGGACATGCTTGGCTACGTTGCCAAGGTGGCCCGCAAGTTTGTCTCGCAATGGTACGAAGAAAACAACGCACCGTTGCTCTACGTTCGCATTCAGATTGGGCAAGCGGCCAGCAACGCCTTGCTAGATTGCGGCGCAACTCGCAACTTCATCAGCCAGGCCTTCATGACTCGGGCTGGCCTTGGCGCACAAGTACGGAGGAAGTCACATCCGACGACGGTCGCTCTTGCCGACGGTAAGACGAAACAGCGTTTAGAGCGTTACATCTCGGCTGTCCCGGTGTACTTTGCACCGCACGCATGAAAACCCGTCACTTTTGACGTGTTGGACACCGACTTTGATGTCATTTTGGGGATGCCTTGGCTTTCTAGCGCGAAACACACGGTCAATTTCCATCGACGCACGCTCACGATTCGTGATGCAACTGGTGCCGAGGTCCCGTGTACTATTCCTCCTCCTCGCTCTTCCATTCGGTGCCAAGTCGTGAGTGCCAAATCTTTTCGAGACACATGCCGTTCCGAGCATGTCGAAGAGATTKGCATCGCTTTTCTTCGAACCGTCCCGACGACCGATTCATCGTCCACGGATGTGTCTTCCGACCCCCGTGTGACCCGGTTGTTAGACGAGTTCTCGGATGTTTTTGAGACACCCTCCGGTATAGTGTCAGACCGGCCAATCTCTCACGAGATCATACTTGAGGCCGGCGCCGTGCCACCGAAAGGATGCATTTATCGCATGTCCGAGGAGGATCTCACGGTTCTTCGTGCGCAACTCGACGATCTGCTTGACAAGGGTTGGATCCGCCCTAGCAGCTCACCTTGCGGTGCGCCCGTTCTCTTCATTCAGAAGAAGAACAAGGACCTTCGACTTTGCATTGACTACCGACGCCTCAACGCGCAAACCATCAAGAACGCGGGGCCTCTACCTCGCATTGACGATTTGCTTGAGCGGTTGGGCGACGCCAAGTACTTTTCCAAGTTGGACCTCAAGTCGGGTTACCATCAGATTTCCATCCGCCCGCCAGATCGGTACAAAACCGCATTTAAGACGCGATATGGGCCTTTTGAGTGGGTAGTTATGCCTTTTGGCCTCACCAATGCCCCGGCCACCTTTCAGGCGGCCATGATCACCGAGTTTCGCGCTATGTTGGACCGCTTCGTCTTGGTCTACTTAGACGACATCCTCGTCTATAGCCGAACTCTAGAGGAGCATCTCGAGCATCTTCGCCGTGTTCTAGAGACCCTTCGGTCAGCCCGGTACAAAGCTAACCGCAACAAATGCGAGTTTGTCCGGCAAGAGCTTGAATACTTGGGTCATTTTGTCTCTCCGGAAGGCATTCGTCCATTGGCGGACAAGATTCAAGCCATCCAGGAGTGGCCCGAGCCGAAGAATGTGACGGACGTCCGATCCTTCCTCGGCTTGGCCGGTTATTATCAGCGTTTCATCAAGAGTTACTCGAAGATCGCGGCCAACCTAAGCAAGTTACAAAGCGAGGAGCGGCCTTTTGACTTCGATGAAGATGCGCGCCATTCTTTTGAAACACTCAAAGCGGCACTCTTATCCGCCGAGGTGTTACATATTTACGACCGCTTCTAGCTACGCGCGTCACTACCGATGCATCGGGCTATGGCATTGGGGCCGTCCTTGAGCAGCACGATGGCAGGGACTGGCACCCAGTCGAGTACTTTAGCAAGAAAGTACCTCTCGTGCATTCGATCGCCGACGCATGGAAGAAGGAGCTTCTTGCCTTCGTCCACGCCCTCAAGCGTTGGCGACATTTCCTCCTTGGTCGGAAAGCATTCTGATGGGTAACGGATAACAATCCGTTGGTATTCTACAAGTCGCAAGACACGATTAACAGTACCATTGCCCGTTGGATGGCCTTCATCGACCAGTTTGACTTTTTCCCTGATCACATTCCCGGGAAGTCAAACCGTTTTGTGGACGCCCTCTCACGGCGACCGGATCTTTGCACCGCAGTCTACTCTACCTTCGAGATCGACGACGACTTGCGGGAGAACTTGATCCACGGCTATCAAGCCGGCCCCCACTTTCGCGATAAGTACGCGAATTGCTCCTCTCCGAATCCGGTGCCTTCGCGTTATCGGATCCAAGAGGGCTACCTACTTGTGCATTCACGGGGTAACGATCTTCTTTGTGTGCCGAATGATTCACACTTGCGCACACGGCTTCTTGGCGAGTTTCACGATGCGCCCCCCTCCGGACATTTTGGTGTCAACCGTACACTTGGCCGACTTCGCCAGCGGTTTTATTGGCCCGACCTTCTCAAGGACGCCACCCGCTATTGTGAGTCGTGCGAAGTCTCTCGGCGTTGCGAGTTACGCAACCATCGTCCGTTCGGCGAGCTACACCCATTACCAGTGCCCCTTGGGCGACGGGAAGCAATTGCTATGGATATCACCGACCCCTTTCCGAAGCACAAGACCGGCGTTGATGGGATCCTCACGGTCGTCGACCGCCTCACTAAGTACGCCATGTTTTTGCCTTGCCCGCTATCACGCAAAGGCACCGGAGTTAGCCGAGGTCTTATACACTGGTTGGATTCGCTCTAAGGGCTATCCCAAGGAGAACGTTTGCGACCGGGACACTCGCTTTCTCTCCGACTTTTGGGTCRCCCTCGTCAAGCGATGGGGCTCATCTTTGAAGCCGAGTTCGGCTCGCCACCCGCAAACCGATGGTCAAACGGAAAGGGCGCATCAGACCGCTCAAGTCCTTTTACGCACTCTCATCCGTCCCGACCAGGTTGATTGGGTTGAGCGCTTGCCAGACGTTGAGTTGGCTTACAACTCACCGATCCATCCTGCTATCGGGATGTCGCCATTCGAGTTTGAGCATGGTTCACCCATCTCATCGCCGTTGGACGCCACTTTGTCGCGCACAGCCGAGAGCGACGACCATCTTGCGTTCCTTCGTCTCATGCAAGAGCTTCTTGTTCAGGCACGAGATCAGATGTCGAAGACGCAAATACGGATGAGCCGTCAAGCCAACCGCAATCGCCTTCCTCGCCCATTCCGTGCCGACGATCTGGTTTGGGTATCCGCCGCGGAGTTCAGCCACGAGCAAGACATCTCTCGCAAGCTCCTTCCCAAGTGGATGGGGCCTTGGCGCATTCTCTCTGCAGTTGGTGATGATCCCGAGGGCCCTTCATTCCGCATCACGGTGCCACCTCACTTGCCCATCCACACGGTGTTCCACTGTTCCAAACTCGCTCCTTTCGTCTCAGCGGAGTCCGATGAGTTTCCCGGTCGACGTACTCAAGACCCTCCTTCCATGGACGAATTTCAGGAGGCCGGCTACATCATCACCGACCGGCGCCATGRCAACAAAGAAACAGAGTTTCAACTTCACTTTTCCTACTGCAGCCACAAGGCTGACCGTTGGCTGACGCGTTCGGAACTGCAGGCCACAGCTCCCGCGGTTCTCTCACGTTATCTTAGCAAAGGGAAGACTACGCCGAGCACTCCAGCTCCTCGCCTTCCTCGCTACATTTCGCCATCGGATCGGCAGCTTCGCCCGTGCCCCGGCTCGTCTTCATAAGGAGGGGGGCGTGTTACATGCTGAAAGCCTACACACGGGCCCCTCACGGGACCCGAGGTTGGAATAGGGCCCCCTAGTCGCGTCACCGCAGCCTGAAGGCCCTATGGCATTCTTACTTGGGTCTGCATCAGAAAAATGCCAGCTTTAGATTTTTTTTGTATTCTTTTATTTATTTATTTGCTGCAGTCTTTCTAACGGTTGTACTGTTGTCCGTTTTGTGGCCAGGTACACGTTTTAGRACCAAGGCCAGATTCAGGCCCAGAGGCTGAGCTCCTAAAAACGTTTGGACCTTTTCTTTTGTTTTCGAACAGACTGCTACCTGTTCGGACCCAGACCGACGTTGAGGCTGGATACTTCCGCACAGGACCGGTTCGAAGCCAGGTACCAGGAAACTGAATCCTGGACAGGGCCTGGACGTCCGGTAGGGACCCAGGCAGGCCGTTTGAACCAGTTTCAAAGCCTGCGATCTGGACCGTGGATCGGATTTCGATCTGCACGGCCCAGAACGCAGGCCGTGGGTTTTCAAACCTGGCCCACCGCTACCTAAGCTGGGCCGTTGCCCAGTTCGTGGACAGAAGGTACCAGGAGAAATCCAGCGTTATGCTGGTTCAGGAACTTGGCTGCTGCGCTATTTTGGAGACTC